GGTGCAGGTGGAGGTGGTGCAGGTGCAGGTGGAGGTGGAGGTGGAGGTGGAGGTGGTGCAGGTGCAGGTGCAGGTGGAGGTGGTGGTGCAGGTGGCGGTGCAGAAGCAGAAACGGTGTGACTACACTGTTCACTGACAGTCCCGCTAACCGCGTGCGCCTCTGTGTGCACACGCTAGGAAGTCCTTACATACGTTATCCCACTGATCCTCACAAAAGCCTTGTACAAATACATTTTAGAGGTAAGTAAACAGGTGCTTAGATGAGAACTCTCCATACAGACCCATCTGACATGCAGAACCACACTCATTGCAATAATAAAAGCTTGAGGCATCTCACTCTGTCTTAAAACCTTTAAAAATGTATACATCTTTAAAAATGTTTTTATTCATTTTACAAAGAGAGAGGGAGAGGAGGAAGGAGGGAGGGGTGTGCACACGCTAGGAAGTCCTTACATACGTTATCCCGCTGATCCTCACAAAAGCCTGTACAAATACATGTTAGAGGTAAGTAAACAGGTGCTTCATGAGAACTCTCCAGACAGACCCGTCTGACATGCAGAACCACACTCACTGCGGTAATAAAAGCGTGAGGCATCTCACTCTGTCCTAAAACCTTTAAAAACGTATACATTTAAAAAAATGTTTTTATTCATTTTACAAAGAGAGAGAGAGGGAGAGAAGGAAGGAGGGAGGGAGGGGAAGGGAGGGGGAGAGAGAGAGAGAGAGAGAGAGAGAGAGAGATATCAATCGCTGCCTCCTGCACACCCCACACTGGGGATCGAGCCTGCAACCTGAGCATGTGCCCTGACCCAAAATCAAACCGTGACCTTCTGGTTCATAGGCTGACACTCAACCACTGACCCACACCGGCCGGGCCACTCATAAGTTTTTAAAAGATCAAATTCCCTTGTTTAGAGTCAGGGCCCTGACTTGGTGTATGTGATTGGCCAGGCTGGCAGGTCCTCAGACCCTGTCCTGTACTCTGTAGCCTGAAATCCAACTTTAAGATTGGAGTGATTTATTCTTCATGAATGAACCTTTCATATCATAGAGCAAGCTAAGAATAAATCAAATCAAATCATGACATCAGTTTCGGAATCTTCTACCTGCAATTACAAAATAATATGTATTTGGGAAAAAACTCCTTAATCTTGGTCAACTTGGCAATAAGTTTAGTATCTGTTTTTGTGTGTGTGTGTGTGTGTGTATTTTAATATAAGCCTGAAGGCAAGGAGGAAAACGTTAGTCTCTTATAAAGAGTTTTCCTCAATAAACCGTCAGCTGACAAATTAACTGACAGCCCCGTCTCTCAACAGCTGACAGACAGCCCAGCGGGGGCTGCTCCCGCCCCCATGAGGCCGCCTGGCGGGTGTAACTGGCAGCTGCCCTGAGCCTGCAGGAGCGGGCGCTGATGCAGGAGCGGGCGCTGATGCAGGAGCGGGCGCTGATGCAGGAGCTAATGCTGAGCGGAGCAATTCCTTCGCGATGCTCGGCCGCCTGCACGCAGCAGCCCAGCCAAAGACTCCTCACCTCATTCTATTTATTGTTGTAACCAACCGACCAGTGATTCCTTTCGCTTTATTTTCTAAAACTGTGTGCTTTTACTGAAATACTTCGTTTAAAAATGCTTCAAAGAAAAGATTTCTTACCACATTTTCCCAGATCTCAAACTGCGAGGTACCCGTGGCAGACAATGTCGTGAGGAATAAATCTGGAAGAAAAAGAGCCGAATTGTCAGCGTTGTTACTGATGTGTGTGCTCGGAAACAGGAAGAAGCGGGCACATAGAGCCGTCACCATTCAGTTGCTTACACTGCGTTAAGCGATATTGTAAGGAGCCCGATCCCAGCAGAGGAAGCAGCAGGCGAGCCGGGCTGCTGTGCTGAGGGAGGTGCTGGGAGAGGGAGGAGTCCTCCGACAGCCCTCAGCGCCAGCGAGGCCTCTCCCCTCCGCAGCAATCATACCATCCATGGAACACCCGCCCCCCCCAAGAGAGAAGAGACCCAGGCCCCAAGCAACCCCCCTTTCCCTTGGGAACATCTCCCTGCCCTGCCTTCTCCCTATAGAACCTTCCCCTTGCGCAGCCCCTCGGGCCCCTCCTAGTTGCTGGAGGGCGCTGCCCATTCCTGAGTCACTCGATAAAGCCAGTTACATCTCCCCCTGTACCTGGGGCATTCTGTCTGTTTTTATATGAGGTAGACTCTATTTTGAGAAAAGATATTCTGGGCGTAATCACAGTTTGCTGTCTCCCCCTAAAAGCAGCGTGAACCCATATATCCCACTCAGGTTCAAGCCACAGTATTATTCACACCAAAGTCCCACAGAATCCCAGGTCTCTAGCACTCGTGTTAAATGAGCCAGTTGTATTTCAAATTTTGAGTAGAAAAATAACCTCCATATATTCTACCTGGAGAGAGAAGCACAATGACTGATGAAATTCACTAAACAACAGGCTGCAGGGATCAGACACCGTTAGTGCGAGGTCAGGGGAGCTGGGAGCTCGCCCGCACCCGCCCCGTGTGGCTGCGCGATGGCCGCTGTGCTCGGGGAGCGCGGGGATCAGAGGGGCGAGCGGACTCCCAGGCACGTTCCAACCACGTCACTCTTTCGAGCTTTAAACTGGGAATTGTGCAGAGCGATGGGAAGGAAATGTGTACAGGAAAAGGTCATTCCTGTTTTGTGTTTTCTGTAAAGATTACATGTGAATTTGATGAAGCTAGTTTATGGAGTCATTATAATAAAGGCTCCCCCCAGACCCCCAGGGAGGTGAGTGATCTGCTCCCTTTATTACTAGCTGAACTCAGAACTCAGAACTCAGAGCTCCTGCACGGGTACGTGAACCCGTCCTTCTGCCGCGCACCGCCATCTCCGCCTGCGGGTCACCACTCCCAGGAGGCTCTGCCCGGACAGAAAGTGGTCTGTCACGAAGACAGTCCTTTACTCGGTCAAACGCACGCTCACCCGGGAGGGTCCCGAACACAGGCTGAGGCCTGCGCCATGACACCGCAGCCAACCCCTCCCCCCACCCAGGGAAACACAGGAACCTCCATCTTGTATAAAACTGCTGTTTGAATTCTCTGCTATTGTGAGATAGGCCCTTGTTCTGTAAACTGTCATTTTTAGACAGTCTCTTATTCTATAAGATAACTGTTTTAGTTTGAATAATAGAAAAAGATAAAAACTTAACTGTCTGACCTTGCAAGCTAGCCATCTAACGTAATGGATTAATACTGATAATACTTCCCATATTCTCATGCCAAATGTTTGTTCTTTATGTGTCCAAGATCACAAACTGTCTGTAACAATAACTCACACAGAGCCCTTTGTAAAACCTGCAGATAAAGAAGCTCAAAAGTATAAATACGGGAAACTTCCTGTATGTGTTCCTCAGAGATTTGGAAGAGACACTTTCCTCCGGACTGCGCGCAATAAACGACTCCTAATTGATTGGCTCATTAAGGCGTCTTGTATCTCACTCGCTGATTTACAACACAACACCAGGCCCCTCCACACCACCGTCAGCACGACCCAGCACAAGCACACATCTGAGCTCTCTACGGTCTTCCGGGTGTGGGTCGCCCCCTTGCCTCCTGGTGCCGGTGAAGCCCGCCCACCCGTGTCCAGGCTCACTCCCTGCACCCCTCCCGGAACCTCCGAGGTGTACCCAGCACCTGGTGCTCTGTCCTCAAACTCAGCTGGGATGGCCCCACCCCTTCCGAGGCCCCTCCTCCGCCTGGGCCTAGCTCTCCCTCCGCTGCGGCCATCACAGTGGCCATGGGAGCCTGGTCTCCGTCTGCCTCTCCCGAGCTCCCGCAGGGGAGGGTCACGCCGAAGTGCGTTCTACCTCCCTCTGCTTCCTCCGTGCTTGGAAACAGCAGGTGCTCCAACGGCTGTTGGATTATGACATACTGTATATATTGCAAATTTGCGTGGACTGCCTAAAAATAGTCACTTGATTGCGTTTCTGATGGGAAGTCTTGGGAGAAGAAAGGTCTTATGTTAAAGCATTTCATTAAAATGAGCATTGTTTTTACCTATTGCAGTGACTATTAAGAACACTGAAAAGCCATTACATTTTTATATTATCATTGGAGGCCCAGTGCACAAAATCTCATGCACTGGGGGGGAAGGGGGGTGTCCCTCAGCCCAGCCTGTACCCGCTCACAGTCTGAGAGCCCTTAGCAGCGGTTCTCAAGCTGTGGGTCGCGAACAATGAAAATACATCCTGCATATCAGATATTTACATTACGATTCATAACGGTAGCAACATTACAGTTATGAAGTAGCAACGAAAATAATGTTATGGTTGGGGGTCACCACCACATGAGGACCTGTATTAAAGGGTCGCGGCATGAGGAAGGTGGAGAACCACTGCTAGGGGATGTCCTACTGACGGCTTAGGCCCACTCCCCCTTGGGAGCTGCAGTCTGGCCTCCGCCTGCGGGAGGCAACCGGCAATCAGGGGAAGGCACTGCCCCCATCACCCCGCTGCTGCTGCCATTGCCGGCCCTCGCAGCCACTGCGGCTTTGTCCGGAAGGACATCACGTCGGGTCTATCCGACCTAATTAGCATATTACCCTTTTGTTAGTATAGATATTATCTGAAAATGTGGGTAATCAGCATAAGAAAGTGATGGGGATTACCAGCCACAGAGATGTCTAAGGTCACTGAGCCACCTCAATGCCAGTGCTGAGCCGTTTGAAAGAACCAGAACCCGGAAAAGGGGCGATGATGCTGTTACTTAATGTGAACAGGTGACTGTGCAAACTGGACCCACGTGAGCACAAACCAGGAGGCGTCTGTGCCACAGGCAGCCACGGCTCACTGCCGTAACCGCCCTTAGCGCCTGGAGTTGTTAGCGAATGGCCAAGCAGGAACAGCCGTGGGCGCTACCGGCAGCCCGTCACCGGTCCTGGGAAAACAATGCATTTTTTCTGTAGATGTTGCCTTAGTCTCAAAATACTTGCATAAAAGATGTTAAGAGCTTCCAGTCGTTTCACTCATATTTAGAAAATGTAAGAACTATAACAAAATCTTTGCTGATTGTATCTTCATGGCCGCACTAAGACTTTGAAAACCAGTGAAGTGAGATAAGGGATTGGAAGTACCTTGTAAAATTGATTTTAAACATTCATCTCACTATTCAATTACGCACGGAGGTTATAGAAAATAAATGATTCATTATGTGGAGAAATAAAAATAGAGACAATTAATTATTAACAACTCAATATGAAGAGTCATGCCTCTGGCTCTGAATGAGAATAGAAGAATCGCTAGAAAATCTCCCAGTCAACAACGAAGTCAGGGGCTCAGCCTCCTGTGGTTAAGAGGAACTCACACAGCCCGGCCAGCATGGCTCAGTGGTTAAGCGTCGACCTATGAACCCAGAGGTCACGGTTCGATTCACGGTCGGGGCACATGCCCGTGTTACAGGCTCGATCCCTAGTAGGGGATTGTGCAGGAGGCAACCGGTCCATGATTCTCTCTCCTCATTGATGTTTCTATCTCCCTCTCCCTTCTTCTCTGAAATCAATTAAAAAAAAAAAAAAAAGGACTCACAGACAGAGAAATGAGAGGGCAGGCACTCGGTGTAGCTGGAGCGGGTGCTGTGACACCCACCCACACCCTCAGAAATGGAGGGGCTTCCTCCGCTGCTGGGACTGCACGGACAGCCAGCCCCAAGCGCCAGTCCTTTCGGGAACAGCGTAGCTGAAAAGACCGTTCTCACAGGCCGCGTTCGTCTGCGTCCAGCGCTGGTCAGCGCAGAAGCATCCGGCTGGGCCCTCGTCACAGCTCGGCAAGTGGGCAGGGCTCTGCGGGCAGCGGCCCGGGCCCCGGGGCGGAGGAGGCTGTTACTGACATGAATCAGGCCCCCTGCTCCCTTCCCCCTTCCATGGCACTGACTGTAAGAGCGCGCCCCAGAATTCATCTTTTTTTTTTTTTTTTTTAAATCTTATTGATTTCAGAGAGGAAGGAAAAAGGAGGGAGAGATAGAAGCATCAATGATGAGAGAGAATCATGGATCGGCTGCCTCTTGCATGTCCCCTACTGGGGATCGAGCCCGAAACCCGGGCCTGTTCCCTGACTGGGAATTGAACCATGACCTCCTGGTTCAGGGGTGGATGCACAACCACTGAGCCACACAGGTCGGGCAACAGAATTCTTAATTTTTACCACATGAAGGGCTCCTACGCAGGGGCTGGGGTTAGAGAAGAACCCTGAGCTGCTCACTAGCACAGTGGCGAACACTGAAAAGCAAATGCGATGGGAGCACTGTATTTAAGTGGCACGGTCAGTAGAGGTGACAGGGGCAGGGCCTGGGAGCAGAAGCTGCCGTCGCTGGCGACTGCTCTGTCAGTGATTCACACACCGCGCGGGCAGCAGAGCTCCGCGGCCCGTCCGCTCCCAAGGCCCAGGCCGGCCAGCGAGGCAGGATCTGAGTCATTAACATGAAGCCGCCGCCAGCAGCCGGCAGGCAGCCCACCGGCCGGAAGCTCCTGGTTTGCGTGCTGTCCTCCCTGCGAGCTGGTCCGCTTCCTTTCTGGGCACGAGAGGGGCTCCCTGCGGCCCTCACGGCGGCCGGATGAGACACCCTCTGAGGTTCCTACAGGCCACTCTGGACCCCGGGAAGGGGCTCTTTCTGCCGAGTCCAGAGCAGGGCAGCGATCACACACTTCGCGTGTCATGAACCCCAGTCCCGGGGAGGGTGCAGCGAGGCACGAGCGCTGGGCGTCCGGTCCTCGCCCCCCGAGGGTGCAGTTGGACTAAAGGCCTCCCCCTTCTTCCGCGCCCTCCACCCTCACGCAGCGTCTCTTGGCACCTCAACGTGCCTGGCCCCCAGGTCCCGAGAAACAGGAAAGAGGGGCCCTGGCTCTAGGGACTTGCTGCCCTGGAGGCTGAGGGGGAGCCAGGGGAGGGCTCTGCGGATCGTGACTGTCTGAGGGCCTGAGCGCCAGAGCTCCCTGCCTGGGGGTGGGGCTTCCCGAGAAGGTGATGTCTGTGCTGACAGAGCGCAGTGGAAAGTGCGTCGTTTTAGGGCTTATGGCGCTGACCGTGAAATGCTGATGCGACCAACACCGGACGTTTTATTGTGTGTGAACCTCCTCTTGTATGGAGTAAGTTAGAACCAAATAACCAGAAGGAGACAGAGCGGGGCCAACAGTGTCATTAAAGTCTACATTACAACCTAAACCTTCAGAAACCAGCCCCAGTTCCCATGCCGGCTCAGTGCTGTCCATTCGTGGTAAAGATGGACAGGAATGAACAATCACTGTTGGGGTTTGTTAGTACCTGGGAAACCCTATATAATAGAAGTAAAACATCCGATTTTTATTATTACACAGTCAGTAGGAGCTCAGAATTTAAGGAAACCAAAGGCTGTTTAAAAATAAAGTTTCTCTTCTAGAGTTCTATTAATAAAAACATTCATTTCAAAATGCCGTCAAAAACGCCGAGTTTCAAACACTCCCTCCCACTTATGCAGAAATGCCGCGTTCCTGCGTGTCCATGGTCAGCGGCCACGCTCGGGGCCAGGTGAAAGCCATCTGTCCTGAAACACAGCCTGCTAGTAGCTGCCGCACAGCCTCGGGGCCGGCTGCCCCAGGCGCTGGGTGTGTGAGGAACGTGCACACCCACCACGCCCTCCCTGCTTCGCGTGGCAGTGGCAGGAACACCCGAGTCCTTCCCATTTTCTGACGAATATTGGGGGGGAGGGGCAGAGGGAGGTCTGCCTTCGCCTCTGGAGCTACTCGGAGCAAACACTTTGCAAAGTCACAGCAAGGGCAGGGTGGCCGCTGGCGCTGAGGAAATGGAAGTCCCCGGCAGGCAGGAGACATGCACAGTGAGTTATTGACAATGACAGCTCACTTCGCTCAAAGCCGCCGCTCACAGCAGGCAGTGCTGCTTCCTTCTCTGAGGAGCCAGGAGCGGGTGGGGGCGGTGGGGGGTAGCGGGGAGGGAGACAGAGCACCTGACAGCCATCAGGATGAGAGGGAGACTCCAATTTCAAACCGTGACACTGTGGCAGGAGGGAGACCACGCCCAGGGTTGGCGCGGCAGGAGGGGGCCTGGCTGAGGAGCGTGAGGCTGAGCAGGGGCGCTCCCAGCTCGTGATTACGATGCATCCCCCCTGCAGGCGCTGGGTGTCCCAGCATCAGTGTCTGAGTGGGAGTCAAGCCCAGAGGTTATGTGCATTTGCAAGAGACGCAGCGATGCCGTGGACAGGAGAGAAGTGGGGGATGGGGGAGGGGGGATTAAAGCATCAGGGTTCCCCACGCCATAAAGGTACCCGGCTTGGAATGTCACCAGGGCACAGCTGAGAGGCTGAGGAGAGGGGACAGCAGAGGCCCGGGCAGGGCAGCGAGGAGCCCGGAGCCACGCAGGGGAAGGCCGAGGTCAGCCCCTCGCAGGCGGGTACCAGCTGGACCCGGGGCTGAGAGCCGGGGTGAGGCCCGTCACCGGGTGTGCAGGCTCCGGACGGCAGCCCATCCAGAGGGACCCCGAGGTTCCCGAGCACAGAAGTCACACGACTCCTTTGCGTCGGGTGGTGTGAGTATGATGGGAGCCTCGTCAACCGTGTTCAGGGTCCGAGCGCTCGGAAGCGTGGTCTCTCCAACACTCCTCGCGCCTCCTCAGCCACAGCCTGGCCCGGGGAGACCCGTCAGAGCAGGCGCACAGTGGGCGGCCTGACTGCAGCTGCTGCACCTCGGTCCACAGCATCCACGCGCCCAACACTAACGACAGAGGAACAGGCAACCCTCTCAGTCCTCTCTAGCGTCCCTTTAGACGTGCGGAGGAGCGAGGAGGGCAGGAAGCAGAGGCCGGCAGAGGAAAGGGCCGAGTGAATACCAGCATCTAAATGCTTCCCAGGAAGCCACTGCCCGATGTGGGGACAGGCGTGAAGCTCAGACGTGGCCCTGACCTCTCCCACCACCTGCACCCGAGGGAGGAAATCGGAACCGCCCGCTGCTGTCGCCCGTGTTTCGGCGGCTCTGCGTTCGCGTGGCTCACTTCCGTTAGCTGGGACTCTCTAATGCCGGTCGTTTATAAAAGCCCGAGTATGACCAAGGCAATCTGTTTCTAAGAAGAAAATATGAACTTGATTCGGGCTGCCTCCTCTGTTCCTGTCCCTGAAATAAATGAGACACCGAGCAAGGTCACCGAGGCAATCACGCCCCCAAATAACTCAGCTCCTTCCTGACAGGTAGAGATTTCACCCACTGGCGGCGGCCTCCGCTCAGAATGCTAATCGCGAAGGTGCCGCTGCTCCTTCCCGTGTGCCCGATGGGGCCCCGGCCCCGGAGAGCCCGCCCACGCCCGGGACAGCCTGCCCGCCAGACCCGTGTCAGTGAGCACGTGAGAGGGAGCGCCCTGCACACCACGTGCAGGCTCCGGCGGGCGGGACCCAGGATGGGCAGGAAGAGCCCTGCATCAGCTCCTAAGCGTCCCCCTCCCCCAGATCAGGTGTGCAGGCTCCTGACCGGCTGCTCAGCGGGCAGGAGGTGCTCCCGGGTGCAGGGTTAACTGGCACCCGCTATTAATAGAGAATAAATGCAGCGAGAATGAGGGAAGGGTAAGGGGAGCGACACCTTTAAGTGAATTTTCACAGAGACCCATGTTTTACTTTCCTTCTTTAAGAAAATCGCGCTGAGACACCTCAGTAGACACTTTCCGTCAGACCAGGTCCTGCCCCCACGGGCCAGCAGCTCTGCGGGGCTCGCTCCGCCTCCGCAGCAGGGCAGGCCCTTCTCAGCGCACCTGCTGCTGCGGCGAGGCTCGGCCTCGGCAAGGGAAGCGTTTCAGCTCCCACGGCACCCACATTTTCACCCGCTGGCGAGTCAGCGGCCTTTCCTGACGTTTTCAAGGGCTGAGGCCACGTGCAGTCGCAGCTTCGTGAGCCCTGAGGTGAGGCGGGCAGGCTCTGCCGGGGGTCACGCGGCCTCAGGTGCGCCTGCTTTTTTTTTTTTTTAAATATATTTTATTGATTTTTTACAGAGAGGAAGGGAGAGGGACAGAGAGTTAGAAACATCGATGAGAGAGACACATCGATCAGCTGCCTCCTGCACACCTCCTACTGGGGATGTACCCACAACCAAGGTACATGCCCTTGACTGGAATCGAACCTGGGAACTTTCAGTCCACAGGCCGACGCTCTATCCACTGAGCCAAACCGGTCAGGGCAGGTGCGCCTGCTTTCAGCGCACGTGCTCTCAGTGTCAGGAAGCACAGTGACGACCAGACGCAATGCTTTCTGGGCTGTCGGGGAGCGCGGGTGAGGAAGGTTAAGCGCAGGTACGGATAACAGGTGCTAGCAGTTATGAAGTAGGCGAGGGGGATGCTGCCGCCAGACGTGCTCAGGAATAAACACGTGCGAGGGTCAGAGAAGGTGCAGGCTGCTCACAAGCAGCAGCCCCGGCCCTCTGTCTCCCCGGTGCCCCGTCCTTGTCGAGAACCGAGGGGAACAGCAGAGACACTGCGGCTGGAGCTCACAGGCCGCTCCATCTTCCCGATAACGATCAGCTATTATTTACGACAGAATTTGAATCGGTTCAAACCGAATGCATTTAGAAGGGATTTGTAAGATAGCCTTATGAGATCTTAGGGGTGGAAATGGTTTAATTTGTATTTTTTAGAAAAATGGACAGAATTCTTAAAAAAAAAAGTCTCTATTATTGTCTACATCTGCTCAGATAAAGTCCCCACAGCCACAGTCCTAAGCTTTGCATGTGACCCTGAGACGCTCCGTGTGGGAAAGCTACACGTCGATGCAGCCCGCAAACAACAGTACCTGCTCATCGCAGCCCTGCTCCCCCCACGCAGCCATGTCACCGACCTCCTCACATTCGTTAAGCATTTAAACATCCGATTAGAAAGTGCTTGCTAAGAACATAGGAAATACGGCCTCACAACGCTGTGGCCGTTCAAAAGAGGGCGTTTACACGGACGTGCAGCTCACCTGCTGTGAAATCTCCAGTCAGGTCGATGAATGCGTGAGAGTGTGGAATTCGCATTTTACTTTTAGTGGTCAATGCAGGGTGCCAGGATAAATTCCTAAAAACAACACAAAGATTTTCTTAAGTCAAACATCAAATGAGCATTGTTTTAAAACTAACAAACAAACAAAGAATCAGTGCATGCAGACATGTAAAAATTTTTATTTCCTTTATTTAGCTGTTTCACATAACCCAAGCTTCCCCATTTTACATTCTCGCTAGCAATGTAGGAGGGTTCCAATATCTCCATTTCTTTGTCAACACTTATTACTGTCCATTTGTTTTATTATAACTATCCTGTGCCCACTGGCCATTTGTATATCTTCTTTGGAGAAGTGTCTATTCAAAGCCGTTGCCTGTTTGAAAATTGGGTTATTTACTGCTTTACGTTTGAGTTGTAAGAGTTCTTTATAAAGACTGAATACTAGATCTTCATCCAATGTATGACTTGGCAATGTCTAGTTTTTCTTTTTTGCTTGTCCTTTTGGTGTCATATATAAGAATTCATTTCCAAATCCAAGGTCATGAAGTTTGACTGCTATGCTTTCTTCTGAGAGTTTTATAGTTTTAGCTCTTATATTTATACATCTTTTTTTAAATACAAGAAAAAATGATTAAATGTTTTTTCCTAGACTGTAGTAATGGTTATCTTGTATGAATATTAATTTCAAAGTCTGAGCCATGCAGAAGAATTTAGACTCTACCTCAAACCATATAACAAAAATTAACTCAAAATGGATCCAAGAGCTAAAACTAGAAAACTCTTAAAAAAACAGTGATAAATCTTCATGACCTTAGATTTGGAAATGGATTCTTAGGCATGACACCAAAATAACAAGCAATAAAAGAAAAAACAGATGAACTGGATTAATCAAAATTAAAAACTTTTGTACATCATAAGACATCTCATCTCTGATAAGGCTCTGGTACCCAGACTACATCAACAACTCTTACAGCTCAACATCAGAAAGACAAACAACCTAATTTAAAAACGGCCCCGGCCTAGCCATTTCTCCTAAGAAGACATACAAATGGCTGCCCAGCCAACAAAAGACGCTTAACATCATCCGTCAGTGAGGAAACGCACATCAAAACCAGTGAGCAACCACTCCCAGGCCAGGGATGGCAACCATCAAAAGCCAGGCGTATGAAGTGGCACAGAGCCTGTGGGAAACAGGTCGGCATCCCTCAAAGCTCAGACAGACTCACACAGGGCCCTGCCTTTCCACACGAGGCACCTACCCGCAGAACTGGGGGGTGAGCATGCTTACGTGAAAGCATCCCCCCAGTTCATGGGCAGGCATTCCCGTCCGCAAGGCCCCACACAAATCAGCCTCCTGCAAAAGGCCTTGCTCTCCTCCGACCTCTCCCTATAACACGTTCTCCACTGACAGCGCTGTGGTTTGCGTTGCAGCCACTGGAGGAACCTTCTCTTTGAGGGGTGAGCCCCTCCAGGCACCCTGACCCCTACGACGCCTCCCCAGGACCTGCCCAGATGCTGGCGCCCCGAGTCAGGGGCTTCAGTAGCACCTCCCACTCTCTGCTTCTAGTTAGAATTTGCTCCCCCCGATTATGTCCCGCCCCTTGTGGAAGCACAGACCCGTCATCTCTGAAGAGCAATTTAAGGCTCATTAAGTCCAACTTAATTGTCCACACAGTATCCAACTGGCTGTGCAGCAAACAAGGTTTGCTTGTGAATTCAGTTTTGATGTGTTTGGAGAGTGGAGAGGAACAATTGCTAATCTGTGCTTGGCAGTTGGAGCCTGGGAGAGAGAATACGCATTCATCAGGAGGGATTTTTCTGCAGAGTAACTTCTTCCCAATGACCTCCGTATACACTCTTTTTAGCACACGTCAGGTTCGGCTGTAAGCTGAACATGGCAGGAAAAACAAAACCCAGCACTACCCGTACACCCTAATTTTATTATTTTAACCAAAACTCCACGATATAAGGTTATGATGAATTTTATAAATTGAGAAACTGTATTTAGCATTTGTTGTAAGGTAATTCAATGCCAGGCATTCATGCTGTGTTCTTTCAGTCTACACACGGTTAGAAATGCTTAAAATAACTTCAATTAAGTTCAATTGAATACTGGCTGGTTCACTTCTTTTCAAGATAGGCCATGCATTCATCGGTGCTTTAAACTCAAAGCGTTCAGGTATTTTTAATTACTAACAAAATAATCAGACTCAGGCTAGAGATTCTATGACAAGTTTAACCCAAAGTCATTTCAGAAGCGCTTCCTGGTGTTTCCAACAAATTTGTAATTATAGGCCAAACTGAGTTAAAAACAGGCTTTTATGAAGTTGAGTTTAATGAGGTTAATCATGGGTCTGAGATTAATTGCTATCAGCCCAGTTATTGATCTCATTGCCTATAGAATTTTCTACAGGTTTGCTTTAAAGTAAGCTACAACTAGAATTTTGGAAAACTTCAAATAACCGGTGATATTTTTCCTAGGAACTATTTGACAAAAATGTGCATTTCAAATGAAGAATTGAGAATAGTGATAAAGCAAGAGTAATAAAGAGGTGATGGGCCATATCCAGTAGAAAGATGTTTTATCTGAGCCTTACGATGTTTTACAAGTTTTGAATTCACTGCTAAAACTTAAGTAAAAAGTCAGGTTTCACCTAAAAACCTGGATTTCCAGCTTCCCTGGGAACACCAGCAGGCCTGACAACCCCTGGCGAGCGCCCGCAGGCAGCGGCTTCATCCCTTCGCTTCCTCCTGGGCCCCTCAGACGTCTAAGTTGGAAACTCCTCACGAACATTAACTGTGATCTTGCTCCCTGAACATTTCACATGAATCCTGCAGGTCATCCCAGTGTTAACGTGGATATGCGCTGCCTGTCCTCTGCTGTGTCACATGGACACCTCTTACAGGCGGTTACCTGACCCTCACATGTATGCAGGGCCCATGCACCACACTGCTGTGTACCAAGGGGTGCTGCATGTTCATGGTTGAGAATGGAATACAGATACAGCTGTTTATCAGAATCAAATGGTTTAAAATTTTATAGTTCAAAATAGAATTCATTTTTCCTTCTACCTTCAATGCGGCTCTTTGTACTCATAGTTTTTCAGTAATAAGAGCAGACACCGTAGTTTTCAAGCAACTGTGCTCACATAAGCTATAATCTCATCCGTGCTCAACTCCATTGGAAGGCCAAGGTCGCAAGTACAAGCTATTCTGATTACAAAGGAAGAAACAGCAGCGATGAAAGTGGGCAGTTCTGAGCCAGGTTGAGTGTATTGGTTGACATTTCTTGACCTCTGTAGAAAATTCCAATTATTAGCTTTTCCCCCCACGGGAAGCATACTCATGTCAAGGTGTTCTGATTTGTGGGCCTCATCACCCTTAATCTCAAAGAACAGCATTTATCAAAGAATCCATTTAAATGTAATTAATGTCAACCACAGCTTTTGGTTGCCTATGGTAACTGCTCTTTGAAGTGACTGCTAGTCCACCCACTTTCCCCCATCAGCCTATGCCGAGTTATCACTGTTCAAGGGAGCCCAGTGAGGGCACCGACTAGGCGATGGGTCTGGCATAAAGATGGGTCTAGCTTAGACTCTAGCCTGCTTCTCCAAGCTGCCTCGTTCTTCTTCTTTTTTTTTTTTAAATATCCTCACCTGAGGATATTTTTCATTGATTTTAAGAGAGAGCTGGGAGGGTGGAGAGAGAGAGAGGAACATTGATGTGAAAGAGGCACATCAATTGGTTGCCTCCCACACATACTGACCAGGGCTGGGGTTTGAGCCTGCAACCGAGGTACGTGCCCTTGACCAGAATCGAACCCGAGACCCTTCAGTCCAGGGGCTGATGCTCTATCCACTAAGCCACATCAACCATGGCAGCCTTGTTCTTTAGCCCACCGGCCCTCACACATTTCTGCTCCGACAGACTCAAAAGAATTTTGAAAATCTGTGTGCCCTTGAACACAGATTTAAATTCATTTCTAAGAAATGTAACCTAAATATTTTCATCAGCCTAGATAGCTACAAAATAGGAAATCTTCAAATCTATTAGAATTGTTGAGATTTTAAAATAAAACAATTACTCTTAAAAATGCATCCAGTGGAATATAACTACCATGCTGAGTTGCTATGGGGACCGCCATCCACACACAAACATGACACGCTGCTCCTCTTTAATTGCAACCGTTCCCTCCATCCTTGACGTTGTGCCTCCATCCCACTTCCTTACAGAACTTCATCATGATGGAAAAGTTTCTATATCTGAGATCTTCTTAGCGATCACTCGATCCTATGTCTCTGAAGAAATGCAGGTCTACAAGTTGGTATGTCAATTAAAATTGGTATCTAAGTGGTTTTGTTTATGTATCCAGGTGTTTAAAAAAAACCTCTGAGGTTATTTTAACTACGTGTACAATTGATAGGAACACACATTATACAGCTTGATCACGTACTAAGCCAAAGGTGAAATTGTACGGGAAATGGGTATTTGTAGGAGCCGAGTGGAGCTTTAACATGGATTGGCTCCTGTGTCCCATGGCACCGCTAGAGCGAGACAGGATCAGCAGTCTACACCCACTCTTCGCCCTCACAGACTAGGTGCTAAGAAATCCTGTTCATATGTCCTATTAAAATCTCCCTGGGAATATAATACTAAGAAATTGTTCTTATTTTGTTAGGTCTGATATGCTGTAATTATGTATTTTTAAAAATCCTTATTTTTTAGAGCTATATACTCAAACGTGTATAGATTACTGTGGAGAGCAGCTACAGTGTTTGGACAGGTTCAAGCCTTGGACTGATGAGAAGGCACAGTCCTCTCGTGGCCACGTGCAAGTCCCAGCTTGGAGGGCAGAGCCCTCCCAGCACAATTATAGCCAACAGCTGTAGTTGTGAGCTTGAACCTGTGGTCCGAACACGTGGCCCCACGTGCCTGTGTGATAGAGTTCAGGTGCATGTAATTGAGTGGGACTGAAATCCAGGAGAATGTTGTAAACATCTTGATCACGCCCTTACTTTGCCTCGTGGCATCTGCTATAAAATAAAGACACGGCTTGTGGTCCCTGGTGCTGTTTCTCTCCATCCGAGGGCAGCGTCCCACCGAGACCCAGCTTTCATTCTCTTGTCTGTCTCTTCTAATCCTTTCACCATCCCCTCTCAGGGTCACTGAACCAGGCTGAGCTGGCACGGCACATAAGGCGCCCTGGGGCTGAGTATGCCATGGCCATGCCAGCTCGCCACAGATTACACATGTCTCGGGAGGGAGCTAGAAGTGAATGAGCTAAGACTGGTCAGGCGTTGATGACGACAGCTGGATGACCGGTGCGTTATGCACAAATTCATGGCTCTGTCCTCCCACCCTGTGCATACATTTCAAGTTTTCCATATTAAAAGCAAAAAGGGAGCTGGGGAGCTGCAGAGCTGCTGACGTAGCTGCGGGTTCAGTGTAGGGAAACGTCTGCCGTATAATCCAATCCGCAGAGCCAGGCCTCACTGTCTCACCAGCCTCCAAAAGAAAGTTATTTCTGTCTGAAGGAGTCTGACCTCATTTCTCCAGTTCACATAAATGTTCGAATATGCATCTCAAGGAATATCATAAAAACTGCCGAGCCAAGGACAGACTATAGAGGGTAGGGCAGATTACCCAAAGCAGCCAATGTTAAAATAATGACACCAGGAGGAGGGATTGACAATTAAGCTTTTTTTAATCCTCACCTGAGGATACCCCCCCCCTCCCCTGACTAATTTCTAGAGAGAGTGGAAGGGAGGTAGGAGGGGGAGAGAAAGAGAAACAGGACTGGTTGCCTCCCCCACACCCCCCGACTAGGGCGGGGATCAAACCTGCCACCGAAGTACGTGCCCTCGACCCTTTGGACCCGCAACCCTTTGGTGTGTGGACCCTGCTCTGACCATTCAGTGAACCAGCCAGGGCCAGAACCAGTTCTAAAAGCCATAGTTTTTCATGAATCATCAGAGAAGCAAAATCTAATACAGAATTCACAAGGAAATAAGCTATGCGACTGTCACATGACATTCTAGGTAGGTTTCCTGTAGACCCAGGAGAAAGTCCATGAAGATACTAGACAGGTTCCTGACAGTCCCAGCCCCAGGCAAACTCGCAGGCCTTGCTGTGGCAGGAGTGGCCCGTGCAGCCCCCACCCCGCCCCCTCCCCGCCACAGCTCCTGGCCACGAAGGCAGGTCCCACAACCCCACACATGAGGCTCCTGGCCACCAAGGCAGGCCCCACAACCCCCCACACACGCGGATGCTGGCAAAGCCAAAGCAGGACCTCCCTCCACTGGCCTGTTAACCAGGGTTCTCTTCCAGGCGCTTTTCAAAGCTTGGGGGATTCACAGCAAGTCAAAGGTCACTATGAACAGCAGCAAGACACCCACGTTCTTTACTGCAAACCTTTGGGAAAAGTGACAGGAAGTGTGAGAGCTTCTCTTCATCACCTTGAATTTTAACAACTGACTCATCTGCGTGCCTGTGAATCATCTCAAAACCTAACCATAAAAATATACGACTTTTCCAAAGCACAGAAGGAGCCGCCGTTGATTTCCAAGCCCCTGGGCAGATGATGGGTCCAGGGAAGTGTCTGTGTGCTGGGAAGGGAAGGGTAAATACTGTACTCTGTCCTCAGGAATGAAAATGTGGCTTCATTTGCAAAATCCCTCTTAGCGGTTTTGTTATCAGATACAAAAGAAAGTAGCCAAGTTGAACAGGCTAGTGAAAAGTGCCTTGTCATGAATTCTGTGTTAGGACAGCTCTATTTTAAGCCTAGAGGAACTGTAATGAAGATCTTAGAACTGGCCCGGCCGGCGTGGCTCAGTGGTTGAGCACTGACCTGTGAACCAGGAGGTCACGGTTTGATTCCCGGTCAGGGCACAGGCCCAAGTTGCGGGCTTGATCCCCACTGTGGGGCGTGCAGGAGGCAGCTGATCCATGACTCTCATCATTGATGTTTCTATCTCTCTGTCCCTCTCCCTTCCTCTCTGAAATCAATAAAAATATATTTAAAAAAACGATCTTAGAATTGCAAGGCTCCAGATGGTTTCTCCTGAGAACAGCTGCTGGGACGGGAAGAGTCCTCGCACACCACTGGTCAAGGAGAAAGTGTACACGGAAGGGCCCCAGGGCGAGGGAGGGATGTTGACTCTGACAGCAGTCATTGCTCACTGAACAAATACAAGGAAAAGGAAGGCAGTGCATCCCTGAGCCTGGGCGCTGAGGCGGAGAATCAGGCTCCATCCAATGACCCCGCCTCCACACGGGCCCAGGGCCTGGGTCTCCAGTGTCCAGAGGGCGGGGAGATGCGGCTGCTCTCCACAGAGCGCACTTGCAGCCCCAAATGGACGGCCCGGGAGCGCTCACGCGGACCAGACGCCCTTTCCGCGTCTTTCCCACCAAGGGTTTCCAGTGGCTAATGCAATCGGCTCACACAGACACAGTCCCCGTAGGGCTGACCCCTACACTGAATTACACGGTAATAAGCATGTCGTTTACTCACCCTCCTAACAGAATCTGTGGCTGGCTGGCTTCATGCGTGACGCCAAACACATCAGGAATTAAATCACCATTGAAGCTGAAAAGAAAACACGAGGCAGCGATTTTATCCAATTCTCCACCGAGGCTTTAGAAGGAAAAGGACCCCCGGGAGGGGTGGGAGACATCACGATGCTCACAGCATCTGCTGTGGTCCAGGAAGGTCAGCAGAAGGGCCAGGGTCACCTCCAGGCAAAGGGTTTGGCTGTGGTCACCAGACACTCCGGCCCTCCTGCCGTGGCCACGAGGAGAGCACGTGTCTCAGGGTCTGGCTGCACACAGGGGTGCGGGGTGAGCAGGACGAAACCTGTGCTCTAGACCCTGGGGCTGCCGCCACCTCTGCCTGACCGCGTCCATCCCCGAGGGACACGGAGACGCCACTTACTGCAGAACCTGACCCAACCTGTTCAGTCGATGGACTTAGGAGAAATAACCGGCTGGTATCCAAGTCCAAAGGGGCCGCTGCATGTTGCGGTAACAATGAAAACATGCAGCAATGGAAGAAACCAAGCTGAGTGCCGTAAGGAGATCAGTCCATGGGTTTACAGAGCTCTGAGGGCCACTGACCTATTGACATTATGACGGTGACTTTAATAACTGGGAAAGGACAGAGTGGCCATGTGCTGCCTGTCCCCCAAATGATCTCCACCGCATTCCCGAAAACCCTGAGATCCATATTAATTTTATCCCTGTATGAGTCTGCATTGAGGAAGCTTTATTCGAGCTAGCTCGGCTCCCCCACCTTGCCGACGCAGCGACAGGAAGCAGAGAGGATCCGTATTAATTTTATCCCTGTATGAGTCTGCATTGAGGAAATAAGTGATAACATTAAGGAAGAGCTGTAAAAAAGGACAAAAGTTTCTCCTAAATATAAAAACCCGTGTAAATCGCTGGAGGAAACCCTGTACTCTGGATATCCATCCATGAAGTAACGGTTTTACCCCAAAGCAGTTCTCTTAATTCCCTGATTAATGACATGGCTGGAATCACCATGGATCCGTAACAGACACAATCAAAACTACTAAAACAGAAAGAAAACACAAATCCCCTCTTCTTTCAAAAATACCGAATTTCATTTTCCTCTTTCCTCCATCATGGCAAATAAATACATCACTGAGAGCCCAGGCCCTATCGGCTTTAAAGGGAGAATGAATTTAGTGTCAATACTACTTAGCAAAGTAGTTTTTAAAAAATATATATTTTTATTGATTTCAGAGAAGAAGGAGAGGGAGAGAGAATTATGGATCGGCTTCCTGCAGCACGCCCCCCCCACCCCCCCACTGGGGATCGAGCCCACAACCCGGGCCTGTTCCCTGACAGGGAATCGAACCGTGACCTCCTGGTTCATAGGTCGATGCTCAACTGCTGAGCCACACTGGCCGGGCAGCAAAGTAGTTTTTCATGTGAAAAATTTTATTTTATGTTTGTAAGTTTAAAATGACTCAAAGGGAAGCAAATGCATACTTACTCCATAATCAAAGGTTCATCATGAAAAGTCCTGTTGAGCATGGTCATGTTATTAGGATCTGTAAAGAAAGCAAACACATAAATACAGGCCCTTTGGATTACCTTTTATATCCACCCGTAGGAAAAAGATAGTCTTTCAATTATTTTCAAGACTCATCTCTAACGAATTCCAACTGTTAGCATTACGGACACACTATAAACAGAACTCAAACCGACAGCCAGTTTGTAAAGACAAACCACTGGGCGAGTTCACGCCACAGTGACGACCGGCCTGACCCTAACTTCCATTTGCGCTTCCCTCGACCCCACCACACGGGCCTCCTCCCTTAGGTCCGTGCTGACGGGCTGAGTCTGAAGCACCAGAGTCCCATCTACATCCCCATGTGACAGAAAACACGACTGCGCCCCTCCGGGAACAAAGCTGTCTGCTTCGCTACGAGGAACTGGCTTCAGATAAGACTGGAGGTCTGGAGGGGACATGGTCTGACTCTCAACCCTGCTCCGCCCTGGCAGTGCCTCCCTGGGGAGCCTTTCTCAGCCAGCCTGGCACCGAGACTGGGAGGTAAGCATGAGGCTTGCCCACTGGGTGCACGGGGAGTGCCGGAAGGCAGGCGTGCGGGGACGCTGCGGCCTGCACGTCTTCTCGGGTGTGATCACTGAACTGTGAGTCCCCAGAGGCAGGTGCAGGGCACCCAGTTTGTGGGGAGAATCACAGCGGCGGCACAGGGGCGTCCTGGCAGGTGCTGAGCAATGGCCACTTTCTGATGGTGAAGAGGCAGTTGCTTCCTTGCAGGCTTTGGGGATTGTTCCAGAAAGTTCAGCCTACGGTGTGCTCTTCAGCCATCAAAACCCTCTAATAAATCTCTCTTCTTAAGCTATCCAGACTGGATTGTTTTCTGGAACTGACTTCAGAACAGGTCTAGGTTGAGAATGAAAAATCAGAAAATGGACTTTTTTTTTTACACAATCACTGACACTCAAGAACTGCAGTTTTAAAAAAAAATCTGACTTCAGAACAAAATTTTTGCTACATAAGAATACCCTTTCCTATCCAATGGTAAATAGTAAAAACTCCTAAGACAAATTCACCTAATGTTTGATTTTTCCCCCAGAAGATGACAGCGCTTAATCCACCGTCGACATGATTTTTGGGGAGATAGGTCAGCAGGACGTCCATCTGCGAGTCTCCGTCGTAATCCCCCGGCACCACACCTGTGATCAGTGCGCTGTGATTCCTGCGAGAGAAAAGGACACCTTACAGTTGTCCCACACCAGATACTTCCAATGCAAAAGCTACAATTTCCCAGAACCGGTTCATCTCATTCTCTTCTCAGTACCTTATCATCCCTCATGGACGTAGGCCCCCTTGGTCTACAGAAGAATTCAGGATGAATGCAGAGTGGTTTTAAGAAACAAGACCATGCCCAGCCCGTGTGGCTCAGTGGTTGAGCATCGAGGCAAGAACCAAGAGGCCACTGATTCGATTCCCGGTCAGGGCACAGGCCCGGGTTGCGGGCTCGATCCCCTGTGCGGGGTGCGCAGGAGGCAGCCGATCCATGATTCTCTCCAATCATTGATGTTTCTCTCTCTCTCTCTCCTGCTCCTTCCTTCTCTGAAATCAATAAAAATATATTAAAAAAAAGAAAGAGAAGATGAGAACAGAGGTCACTGATCTTTTCTCCAGTGCAAAGGACTCCCTCTCCTTACCCCCTCTCCCCCCTACCCCTCCTAAACACGGTTGACCTGATAAGCCTGTGAGTGAGCTGCTCCCGGGACACTCAGGAGGAGGGACAGGCAATCCCAACACATTTGGGAAGGCAGATTAGAGAGCAAGGTAGTGACAGGTGACTGCAGGAACAGACCTGGACCCACCAACTTTTACTTATCTCCAAAGTAAATTATTTGTAACCTTTGCTACATTCACTATTTTCCCAAATGACTTCTGACTCATACCTCCTAACCAGTGGTTCTGTGTCAACGCCACAGTTGGGTGCCATTGAATTCAAAGACAATCCAACCAACTGCTGGCCATCCCTTATGACACTGATGCCCGTTTCACAGAAACAAATACATTTGTACTTACTTCAAGGAAACCTTCACTCTGGGTTTAAAATAGGGCGCGCTCTGGTCTGCCAGAAAGACGATTAGGTCATTTCCTAAAAGAAGCGAACACAGGGTGTTAGAATAAGGTTCCCTGGTCAGACTTCCAATCAGTGTTTACAGGAACCTTCCGGGCACTTTTCTCAACAAGAAAACTTTTGTTCGGCTCTAGTTCACCTGCCCTTTCGAGGTTAGTCCCCGAGTCTGATGGGAAGGAGATCCCTAGCGGTACATCACCGATCCAAGGCCCAAAGGAAGGATGGACATGGGAAACGTAGCCGGGGAAGGACTTCTGCCAGAAGTCGGACCGGTCGCCTTAAATAACGTGCCTTATAACTACTATATGTATATATGTATATATATATACACACACACACACACAGTGGGGCCTTGACTTACGAGTTTAATTCGTTCAGAGACCGAGCTCGTTAAGGAGCTTGTTAACTCAAATTACTCTATCAACTCAATGCAAAAAAATCGGCCGAGAGACAGCTGGTATCTCAAAAAACTCGTTAGTCGGGACACTCGTAAGTCAAGGCCCCACTGTATGTATATATACATATATATACACACATATATATATAATCTCGAGTTCAAATGCTGTTAAATCGTGTTGTTTACCCGTATCTTCAGAAAAAAATCACTTCTACCGTCGTGGTAAACAACCTGCTTCCCTATTTATAATGGTCTGGCCCTCTAGCAACTTCAGCTCGAAATTATATATAATTTGCCTACAAATGTCAGGTGGTCATAATAATCTGGCCACTCAGTGTATATGTCAGCCCCGTCTCCCCCAAACCTAACAACGGGGCCCCTCATTAAGGCTGCTGAGCCCATCGCACGTGTCACAGGAAGGACACGGGACTCCCGCAGCAGGGCTCTAACAAGAACACGGCTACGTATTGAAGCAGAACAAGCCCGAGTCCTCCCAGACCCTCCTCTTGTGGCTCCCACTGACCCTTCTCCAGGTGGAGACAACCGTGGAACTCAATGAGCATCCACTGAACGGACGTTACAGAACCAGACCCGAGCCGCCTTGAACGTCGTAAGACGAGACTGTGCCCAGTTTGGGTGGAGTAGCTACAGGTGTGGGAGTAGCACCCTTTCTGCAACATGTGGGGCCCTACACAGGCAGGGAAAGTATCCGGGTCCGCAGGAGGTCCCGGGCCTGGCAAGGGCCCCAAGAAATCTGGACCGGGGTCCCGTCCGTCAGGCTCGGTATAAGCCCTTCGCTCCTGTCTTCCTGGCCTTGACCTTAAACAGTACCTGGTTCTGTGGGTCCTCAAGAATGCCCCGGCCCCGTCAGGCCCACGGTCAACCTCGAGATTTACAAAAAGGTTTGCCCAGTGATGGTGAGCGCAAGGAACTCCCAAGAACCCCGGGTTAGTAAAGAAAGCAGTGATATGGAAGACTAGGAGAGTGACCCCAGCAAGGATGGGGCAGCCGCACACAGCAGGCCCGATGGCTCGGGAGGGGGGCGTGGAGAGTGGCGACAGCAGCGGTTCTCAACCTGTGGGTCGTGACCCCTTTGGCGGTCGAACGACCCTTTCACAGGGGTCGCCTAAAACCATCCTGCATATCAGATATTTACATGACGATTCTTAACAGTAACAACATTACAGTTATGAAGTAGCAACGAAAATAATTTTATGGTTGGGTCACAACATGAGGAACTGTATTTTTTAAAAGGTTGAGAACCACTGGGCTACAGCGTTTGGACAGGTTCAAGCCTCGGACTAACTAACGCGAGGGCACCACTGATTCTCTCGTGGCTTTGCCACGTGCAAGTCCCAGCACAATTGTAGCCAAAGGCTATGGCTGTGAGCTTGACCTTGTGGTCCGAACCTATGGGCCCACCTGGCTGAGTGATATGGGCTGCGGGAGGTGCGGCAAGTAAACAAAGCTTGACCAGGTGCCTGTCATTGAGCAGATTCCAAACCCGGGAGAACATGGTAAACATCTTGACCACGCCCTGGCGGAATCTGGCTATAAAATACAGACTCGGCTTGCAGGCCGTGGCGCCGTCTCTCTAATCAGAGGGCAGCGTCCCACCCAGCCCCGGCTTTATCCTCTTGTCTAACCCTTCACCACCCCCCTCCCCCAGGCTCACCCCTGGCCCAGCTGGCCCCGCACAGGGGGGTGAACTGGCAGGTGGACACCCCCCACTCCTCCCCACTCCCCATTCCATGCACAATGCTCCTGAGAGTTGAGGCGAGTTTAGGGGCTGGGAGGGCCCCGTAGCTCCCGAGAAAGGGGGGGCGGGCGAATGAGGTCCACTGGGAGGCGGGGAGAAGCCCCCTGGGAAGAGATGTCAGGATGCACCTTCCCGGTCCCCAGGGGAGGAAGCGGGAGGGAGAAAAGCAGGAAGGGACGGGGCCGCGGGAGGAGCGCAGGTAGAGTCCTGGGGACCAGGAAGGACTCGGAAGGCAGGGGATCCCACGGGGGCAGGCGGGTGCGTGGGCCTCTCGGGGGGAAAATGGGGTGTCTGCAGGGCCGTGGGTTAGATCACACTAAGGGGGACCCCGCCAGGACCTGGGGGAGGGAGATGGGGAGACGGGCAAGCTGTCAGGGGAGCTGGGGGTGAAGGGAGAGTCCGGGCTGGGGCAGGGGGCCAGCCCTCGGGCAAGGGAGGAGTGGGGACCCCGGG